GTGGCTGGCGCCTTAGCCGGCTGAGCTATAGGCGCCGAGCCGAGATTTTTATTTTCAATCAACAAACATTTTGAAGCCAACTCTGCTGTATCTGACACTTTGACACAATCTAGTCCCCTTTGCTCATAGCTGACCCCACCCTATCCTGGGGGCCAGACCACCCTGAGGGACCAGTGGCTGGGCCTAGGGCTGGTCAGACCCAGGCCTGGGAGCCATCCCTATAGCACCAGCTCACTGCTCACCCCAGTGACTATATATGGGCACTTTCAGGCCCCTCTGTTCCCCGCCCCCAGCCCTGTCTGCTTCCCAGGCATGGGGGCAGGCGCTGGGCGGGCCCAGGAGCTTACAGCCTGTACAGGGCCAAGTGCCCTCCTGGCCGCCAAGGCCCAGCACCGAGGAGGAGGGGAGACTCCTTTGGAGAGACCCAGAACCGGCCTCTCCCTCCCATGGGACCTGCAAACGACGCCTTAGAGAGAAATATGCCTCCCATCCTCCCTGGGGACGGAGCAGCGGCCTCTTCTTAAAGGGCTATGAACCACTACTGGACCCAGCAGTTTTACCACCCCAACAGCCCCCAGGCCAGGCCCAACCAGCATGAAAATGCCCAGTGGCAGACAGGGCTCAGGATGGGTGGATTACACCCTCAAGGTCACACAGCCAGGCACTGGGAGTGATCTCAGGAGACATACCCCAGGGCTCGGCATGTGGAACCAGGCCAGCAAGCAGTGGAGCCAGGTCAGCTTACCCCTTCCCTACTCAGACTGTCTCCCAAGCTGAGCTGGCTCCCTTGCCAGCTCCAGTGTTCATGCCCCAAAATGACAGGGGCCTCAGATTCCAGACAAAGAATGTGGCCTACCTCCATGTGGCCTACCTGTAGCCTGATGAGAACCCTACACGCAGGGCTTACATTTCCAAAACCCAAACTTTAAACAATAAAGGCTCCCCAGCTCCCAACAAAGGAGTAGCTGCAGGTGACAGTGAGGAAGCCTGGCCTTGCCAGCGGGAGCATATTTTGCAAATGATCTCATCAAGAGCCAGGCCTAGGGAGAACAAGGGTCTGCTAAAAAAGAAAGAGGAGTTGGTGACCCCTACCCAGCAAGGAAGGCAGGAGCAGGGGTCCAGCATCCGGCTCCCAAACTGAGGCCCCAGAATATTCCCTTCCCACCACACCTCCTGGAGCATGGGGGCCTCACATCTCTGAAGAGGGGTGCAGTGGGGAACTGGATAGAGAAAGGCTGGCCAAGCCAAGCCACCCTCCTCCTGCCTACCTCTAGGAGGGCTGAGGGGGTGCCCAGTGAAGCCTGCAGGTGAGGGAAGAGATGCCAGTGAGGGGGAGCCCCTGGCCGGCTGCAGACATGAAGCCAGATGGGCCTGGCGGAGGTCAGAGTGAGAGGCCCAGTAAGCAGGTCCTGATACCTCTCCACACAGCCGCAGCCCCAGCCCCAGCCCCAGCCCCAACCACACTTCACAAACTCCCTAGGTGGGGCTCCAGGGGCCCATGCTCACCAGAGGCAGCTCAGGGTCTATGTCCTCTCCCTGGCTTTGGGAAGACCCTTTCCATGGCATTACACTGCCGGCCTTTGCCTCCCCCTCAAGAGATCAGGCCTGAAAGCCCAGCCCCAGGTTTCCTCGCCCAAGAGCACCCCATAGGGACGCTGGGGGGAAGGCAGCCTATCTTGTCCTGAGATCCTGAGACCCCCACAGTGGGCAGCGGCCAGCCAACTTGGACCACCAGACAGGTGGGCATCAGCTACCACCATATAGGCAGGCACCAGACAGAGGGAGCAGCAGACTTGGGGTGACCCTACCATGGTCAAGTTCCTGAATGAGCTCATTACACAGGGGTCTACAGAAAGCCCAGGGTATCCCAGGATGAGGGGGAGCCATCTGTTGTCCCCAGGACATTTGAAACCTGGGCAGTCCACCCACTCCTTGTAGCCCAAACTGGCCCTCAGGATCTATTGCAGGGCCCTACTTGGAGAACTCCGGGGAAGGGAGTAGGCTGGGGGTGTGGAGCCCCAGCAAGAAATGGCCAACCCCAGCGGGCTATGAGAAGGGGAGAGGCAGGGTGGGCAGGACAGACAAGGAAACAGGCCCTACTCCTCTGAAAGCGGCCAGGGGCCAGGAGGTGCTGGTACCCAGGGATGCAGGTCAAAGGCACAGACCTCAGGGTTCTTCAGTTCTGTCCCAAAAGTATCAGACAGGGCAGGCTCTCGTGGTGACAGGGCAAGCCCTGGAAAACGCACTGCACATGCTCAGCCTCAGAGACAAACCAGCCAAAGGGCAGGATGAGCCCAGGCCCCCGGACCCACACGCAGCCCTGAAACCATTGCATCCTTGTCTGAATGACGCAGGCTCACACTTTAGTTGGAAGACTTGGAGAGGTTTGAAGGCTTTGGTAAAAAGTTAATCATAAGCTCCCTGCCCAGGGGAGGCCCTGAGTGTCCCTGCATACCATCCAGCAGCTGAGACAGCCTGGTGGGCTGCTGAGCACAGCACCAGCACAGTCTTGCTCTCCAGGAGATGCTGAGCGCCCGTGCGGCTGTAAGGATCAGCTCAGTACCGGACACCACCTGGGTCAGCTTCACACAGGCCCATGTCTAGCACCATCCTGCCCTGGGTGTGACCATGGAGAGGTGACAAGTGACAGCCTGTTCTACTCTCAGGGTTCGTCCTAGAGGATGGGACCAATCACCTCGGGTGGCACCTCCTTTTACTTCCTCTGCTTGGGTTCCAGCTGAAGTGCTCCCCAACAGTGACCAAGGAGAAAATGCCAAAGGTCCTCCTGGAAGGGATGGACTTCAGAGGACCAGAGGGGCACCGTGGGAAGAGGTGAAGACTGTGGAGAGGTGGGTCGGGGTGGCAGCTGCCTGACCCTCAGTGTGTGCAACTGAGAAACTATGGCAGCTGCTCCTCCTGGGGACACTGGGAGCCCTAAGAGCCACAACCTGGGCTCCCATTGTGGTCATCTTGCCAAAGAGTGGGAAGGAGGAGGGTGGAAACACCTGGAGGGGGTGTCTCTGATGTGGCCACAGGCTTCTCGTCAAGGCCAGCTTTGCAGGGCAGTGGGCCCAGTCAGGACAGGAAGGACTGCCACCTTGGGCCTCTCCTAGCCCAGCCCACCACTGCCCACAGGCAGGATCAGCCAGAGAACACAGTGGGCTGCCCACTGGGTCCCAGGAGATGCCACTGGGAGACGAGCCGAACCACCAGTGAGTAAAACCCCTCCAATCTGAGGAGGAGGAGGCAGGAGGCGGTGGGAGGTGGTCTGGGAGGCCAGATCCAGGGGAGCAGACCTGCCAACAGACACCACCACAGGTCTAAACTGCACCATAAGGAGAGGCCACCAGCAAACTTCCCACAGAGCCTGGCACAGGGCCTGAGTAACCTCTGACCTCTGACCCCCACGCTACATCAGCAAGAGAAGCAGGAAACTCAGCGGGAAGGCCTCAGATCCCCTCCCTCCAAGAGCGGGGCACACAGGCTCGGCTCGCCTCCGAGGGTCCCGAGAGGGGTGCATTGGCCCTAAGACTCAGCTCCGCCCAGGCGGTAAGGGCCGGGGCCTCCTCCCACTGCAGCCGCACCCGTTTCTCCCCAGGCTGGGGTCCGCATGGGAGGCAGAGACAACCCAGAACAGGAGTCCACCTGCACCGGGAGGGACAGGCAGATGCGAGGCTGCTCCGACCCGGGCGGGAGCGCTGGGTCGCCCTCCGTCCTGGCCCGGGGCCACTCCCGCCCGCGGCGTCCCCACCCCGGAAGGCTGATCTCCGTCGGTCCGGTCCTGGGGAGGCCATGGGTTTCGAGAGGAAGAGCGGGAAGGGGAAGACGCGCAGGACGCCCAGGGCCGGCGTCTCCCCAGGACGCGCTACTCGGAGTCCCGCCCGGGGTCGCCCCTCAGGACACCCGGGGCGCCG